CTCCAGTGCTTTTGTGCGTGCATTGTGTAAATGGTGGGCACACCAGTGCAAATGCAGTTCTGTGTTCTGTTTGTTCTCTCCTCGGATGGCGCTATGTCTTCAGCAGTTTTTGAGTTCATCTTCTTAACCACAGTTAGTAAAGTTTGTTCAACAATTTAAAAATAACAGATTTGCTCTTGAGCTGCACACTGAAGTGGCCTATGCCTCTTCATGAGTCACCTTTTCACATTTAGGCTTTTCTCCTTTCTATATGACTTTGTAAAGGATGGCTTCTCAGAACTGGAGGATTCAAAGGAAATGGACATTTTCGTGACTGGATCTGCATGAAGCCCGGTGTCCCTCGGGGCAGTGATTGCTTACTGCAAACACTGTGTGGAGAGGGGGTTGTCATTCTAGGAATGTCCCATGGGACCATGGGACAGGCCCAGGTCCCATGCTGTATACATGTCCTACCTGATGCAACAGGAGATAGCGGCCAGGCTTGCAGAGGATTTACGAGCCCAACAACAACATCTGGCTGCTGACCCCTCCCTTCCTGCCCTCCACTGCTTTCTACCTGGAGCTGCTCCTGGCCCAGTGCAACTGTAGGGATTTCTATTCTCACCCCTGCGCACCACTAGGCCAAGTGGAAGAAGGACCAATGACCCCAGAAGGGAGGTGACTGTCTCCCTCCATGGTCCCCACCAACTGGGATGGGGTGGTGACTGAGACTCAAGGGCAGAGTGCAGGGAAAGTGGCAGGAAGGGGATGTTTCCCCTGGAAACTTCCAGAAAGATGGTGGTAGTATTGTCTGTGGTGGCAGCAGGGCTTTAAGAGGAGGATCAGTGAAGGGAAAAGTGAAGGCTCAGGGAATGACAGGTTTCTAGAGCACGTCCCTAACCTGGTGTGGCCAGTTTCCATCTCTAGAAAGGGAAGAGGATGGTAATCATAATAATATCCACAGCACAACGCTGAGGTGAGGATCAAATGAGAAAAGAAACTAAAGACACAGTTTTTTTTCTTTCTTCTTCTTTTTTTAATGTCAGGCTTTTATTTTTATTTTTAAAATATAATTTATTGTCAAATTGGCTTCCATACAACACCCAGTGCCCATCCCAACATTGCCTTCTTCAATGCCCAGCACCCACTTTCCCCTCTCCCCCACCCCCTCAAACTCTGTTCGTTCTCTGTATTTAAGAGTCTCTTGTGGTTTGCCTCCCTCCGTCTCTGTTTGTAACTACTTTTTCCCCCTTCCCTTCCCCCATGGTCTTCTATTAAGTTTCTCAGGATCCACAGATGAGTGAAAACATACGATATCTGTCTTCCTCTGAATGACTTATTTCACTCAGCATAATACCCTCCAGTTCCATCCACGTTGCTGCAAATGGCAGGATTTCATTCTTTCTCATTGCCAAGTAGTATTCCATTGTAGATATAAACCACATCTTCTTTATCCACTCATCAGTTGATGGACATTTAGGCTCTTTCCATAATTTGGCTATTGTTGAAAGTGCTGCTATAAACATAGGGGTACAAGTGTCCCTATGCATCAGCACTCCTGTATCCCTTGGGTAAATTCCTAGCAGCGCTATTGCTGGGTCATAGGGTAGTTCTTTTTTAATTTTTTGAGGAACCTCCACACTGTTTTCCAGAGCGGCTGCACCAGTTTGCATTCTCACCAGCAGTGCAAGAGGGTTCCCATTTCTCCACATCCTTGCCAGCATCTATAGTTTCCGGGATCTGTCATTTTAGCCACTCTGACCGGTGTGAGTTGGTATCCCAGTGTGGCTTTGATTTGGATTTCCCTGATGATGAGTGATGTTGAGCATCGTTTCATGTGTAAAGACAGAGTTTTCAATAAATACTGGGTGTTTCCATGAAGAACAAGATTCCCAAGGCCCAAGGATAAGGTGGCTTCAGCCTCTATGTGTACCCACTATATTTAGTGTTGGCTTGATTTGTTAAATGTCTTTTTTTTTAAACATTTTTTTAATGTTTTTATTTATTTTTGAGACAGAGAGAGACAGAGCATGAGCAGGGGAGGGGCAGAGAGAGAGGGAGACACAGAATCTGAAACAGGCTCCAGGCTCCGAGCTGTAAGCACAGAGCTCGACGCAGGGCTCGAACTCACAGAGTGTGAGATCATGACCTGAGCTGAAGTCAGACACTTAGCCGACTGAGCCACCCAGGTGCCCCTGTTAAATGTCTTTTTAAAGCAAGATCCTGAAACTTTGTTGTACATTAGACTCACCCAGGGGGTAAAGTATGCCCAGTGCTTACATCCATCTCTGGACCAGTTATATGTAAATCTCAGAGAGGGAGGGGGTCCACCTGCCACAGTGTCACTCAGCACTAGCCGTGGTGACCCTGGACTCGAATGCCCCTCTACCTGCATTTGCCTGGCTGATTCTCACTCATCAGAAAGTTTATAGCTCCCCAGGGGATTTGCACATGCAGGCTAATACTCCACTCTTGCCACTCAAATGTGGTGCAGGCCAGCATCATGCTGGTGATGATCTGAGCACTTGTCGGAAATGCAAAATCTCGGGTACCACCCCAGACCTGCTGAATCAGAAGCTGCATTTAACCAGACCCCAGATGGTTCCCATGCACATCACAGCTTGAGAAGCACTGACTAGCACACTGTTGGAAGAACATTTGTGGGGACCAGAGCACAGATGTTGGTACCTGGCCTCTGGGTTCAGTCCCTGCTCTGCTGCTTGTTAGTTTTGTGACCCTGGGGAAGATGCTAAACTCCTTGGTGCCTTGGTTTGGTCACTTGTAAATTCAGAATAGCAGTAGGCCCGTTTTATGGGGTCATTATGCGGCCTGGCTCACAGGGATTCTTTACGGTTATTCTGACAAATCTCTTCCTGAAGGGGCTCTGAAATGCGGCAGATGTCACAAGTGTGACAGTGGCACAGGGATCATGGCCAAGAGGGCTCTGTGACAGCCCCAACGTCCCTCCCCAGCTGGACCTACAGTTAGCCGAGGGGCTCTGCATGTCCTGGGATGGGAGCAGAGACTCACCACCTCAGCAGAGAGCAACACAAGGAGGTGCAGGCCCCCACCTGTGCCACTGCAGGTGCCACCAGGCCCCACGGAGAAGTGATGGACAGCACCAGCTACCAACTAGCAGCACGGCCAGGCGTAAACCCCACAATGTTCAGTCAGCCCTAGGAGATGGCTGAGAGTGCACTTGGAGAAGTGGCCCAAGAAAGTGCTGAGGTGACAGAGTGTACCTAAACATCACTGGATGACCTTCCTGTCCTCAGGTAAAAGGGAAGCTTGGGATGGAACCCTAAGTTCAGCTATAGGAAAAAAAAGAGTTTTGCCATGTTAACTTAACTCCCAGTGGGAGGGCCAGGAACTTCCCAGTGATTTCCTATAACCGAGTAGCCCTCCCTTTGTTTCTGACTAGACAGGAACCATGCAATATGGGAAAGGGCACTTTTTAAAAGGTTCCCCTAAGATGAGCAGAAAGCACAAGGTTATGAGTGAAGGGGACTCTGGAAGTCCTCCTGATTTCTAAAGCTTGATTTTCCTCTGACACTCTCAATAAAGCCTGCCATTTATGGTCCACTTTCTGTCCATCTGTCTGCTCATCTAATTGTCCATCCATCCCTCCCTCCCTCCCTCCCTCGCTCCCTCGCTCCCTCCCTCCCTCCCTCCCTCCCTCCCTCCATCCATCCATCCACCCCATCCATCCATTCAGTGAAGGAGTGTAACTCCTGTACCTCCATATTTTTGCTTTATCATTCTAATAGTTGTTCATCTGGCATCGTAAAGGAAAGAACTACTCCTTTGAAATATGTTTTTCCAGATCATTTTTATCCCTTTAAGAGTGTCTTATTTCATTTAGTTTAGTCATTTTATTTATTTATTTTTAAAAATTTATTTATTTATTTTGAGAGAGAGTACATGAGGGGGGTAGAGGGAGAGAGAGAGAGAGAGAGAGAGAGAGAGAGAGAGAGAGAGAGAATGAATCCCAAGCAGGCTTAAACTCATGAATGGTGAGATCATGACCTAAGCTGAAATCAATAGTCAGATGCTTAATCGATTGAACCACCCAGGCCCCCCAAGTGTAGTCATTTTAGAGAGAATTTGAAGTGCATCATAAACTTTCCTTCCTTTTTATTTATTTTTATTTTTAAAAGTTTATTTATTTTGAGAGAGAGAGAGAGAGAGTGAGCGAAAGAGGGGCAGAAAGAGAGGGGAGAGAGAGAGAATCCCAAGCGGGCTCCATGCTCAGTCTGGAGTCCAACTCAAGGCTTGATCTCACAAACCATGAGATCATGACCTGAGCTGAAATCAAGAGTCAGACAGATGTTTAACTGACTAAGCCACCCAGGTGTCCCTTGTCTTCCTTTTTATTTTTATATATTTTTAAAAATTTTAAATGTTTATTTATGTTTGAGAGAGAGAGAGAGTACAAGCGGGGAAGGGGCAGAGAGAGAGACACAGAATCTGAAGCAGGCTCCAGGCTCTGAGCTATTAGCACAGAGCCCGAAGTGGGGCTCAAACCCATGAACTGTGAGATCATGACCTGAGTCAAAGTCGGATGCCTAACCAACTGAGCCACCCAGGCACCCCTTGTCTTCTTTTTTAAAAGAGGACATGCTACATCATATGTCTTTTTAGATAATCCAGACGAAAGTTCTAAATGGAGGCCTCAGTGCTTTCTTGTAAAATCACCATTGTGGGCCCTCAGAGCTGTTTACAGCTCCACACTAAATGGTCTCAACTGCTCTGCTCTCACTTTTGTAATTTTTTTCTGAGATTCTTGTCATCTGCCACTTCCTATAGCTCGTGGCATGCTTTTAAGCAATTATTCCTTCAAGTGGCATTGGCTGGGAAATTGATTGCCAAGTGTGTGAGAGTTGTGCATAGAGCAAGAGTCCTGAGTTCTTTATGTATTTATTAAAGTCTCTTTTATTATTATTTTAAAAGTTTATTCATTTATTTTGAAAGAGAGAGAGAGAGAGAGAATGAATAGGGAATAGGGAAGTGGCAGAGAGAGAGAATCCCAAGCAGGCTCCACACTGTCAATGAAGAGCTTGAGTCGGGCTTGAGTTTGCAGACCGTAAGATCACGTCTGGAGCCCAAACCGAGAGTCAGAGATTAACCGACTGAGCCCCCCCCAGGTGCCCCAAGACTTGTTTATTTTTTGAAGTACATGAGTCTCCTGCCTTTGTAACCCCTATGTTTGCTTCATCCTGGGTTGAAGGTCTCTAGGTGGTTGAAGTCCTTGGAGGCATAAGCCCTAGAAATGGAGGTGGTATAATATCGATGGGTTGTTCTTCCTTGATCATAACTGCTTTCCTTTTTGAAGAAAGGAGGGGATACCAGAGACTAACATGGATTACTCCTCCCCCAAAAGAGGAGATGGGGGCCCAGGGTGGGGCCAGCTGGGTCAGTGGTGTCCGAAGTGTTTGAGGGATAAGGAAGCTGCTGGCTCCCACTGATAGTGAGCAGGTGGCTGGGGAAGGAACCATTGCCTCCTGCTCACTCTTCATGGTGATGGCCAGCGTGGATAGGGGAGAGCAAAGGGAGCCCCAAGGGGAGCCACAGCGCCTGGTCTCCTCTCAAGTCCTGAAGTAGGACTGGCACCAGCGGTGTCTAGATGGGCACTTGGGGTGGGGTTCGGGGGCATCTCAGCCCGTAAACACCCCATTTCCTGACATACTCCTCATTACACAGCACGGGTGACTCCTTTAAATACACAGATATGGTGACACTCAAAACGCTGACAAGCACCTGTGCTTGCATGGGGACCCCTTCTCTCTAAGTGGGCAGCGACCTGTTACCTGGAAACAGCTACAATATACACTCAGGCAGGGAGGGCGTGCCCTCCACTTCCCTCCCGTATGGTGACCAGGGCTGCCCATTTGTGGCAAACACATCTCTGAACTTGGACATAGTGACCCCACTCAAAAAAGTGACACCCCAGACGATAATTGCACACCCACAGGGATGCCCACAGCACATTCCCGCATGGTGAGCTGCTCCTCTTCGGAAGCTCCCTGTCCACACTTACACATGCTCGCACGCGTGTGCTCAGACGCGCTCAGACCCACTCAGACCCAACAGAGCTTGGGGAGCTGAGGGGCTGATTCCGACATTCTTCTTCCCCTCCCCAGGATTTTTGTCAATTGCAGGTTGGTGCTGGGGAAGATTCGCTGCTTTGGCTTTGACATGGACTACACCCTGGCTGGTAGGGAGGGAGGGAGCAGGGTATTTGGGGCTCGGGGAGCAGAGGGTAGGCACCAGCTGGCCTGGTTCTGCGTGGTTCCCACAGCCTACAAGTCCCCAGCCTATGAGGCACTGGTCTTTGAGTTACTACTGGAGCGTCTGGTGTGCATTCGGTACCCGCGTGATATCCTGCGCTACACCTATGACCCCGCCTTCCCCACCAGGTGCGGGAGCTTGCTGGGGTGGGAGGCTGTGGCCGGTAGTCAGCTCTGGAACCCCCATCCACAGCCTCTGCGCTCTCTCCCTCGGGGGCTGGTGTTTGATGTGCTCTATGGGAACCTGCTGAAGGTGGACACCCATGGGAACGTGCGGCTGGGCACCCATGGCTTCACCTTCCTCTCGGAGAAAGGGAAGGGGGAAAGGATGATGGAGGAAAGAAGAAGGTGGGGGAGGAGAGACTCAGGACACAACAGAGGCCCAGCTGGATAAAAGAGGGACAGCAGGGGTGGGCGGAGGTGGGAAAGAGCAGGGGGTAGGAACCAGCTTGAGTGCAGGGCTTGAGTGCGCAGCTAGGAGGAACTAGGGAGGGGGCATTGACCTCACCCAGCCTGCTCCCTCCCCAGGGCAGAGATCTGGAGCTTCTACCCCAGCAAGTTCGTTCAGAGGGACAACCTGGAGAGGTTCCACATCCTCAACACGCTCTCCAACCTGCCTGGTGAGGGCTGGATAGGGGGTGTGGGAGGTGGTCCTCGGGGACACAGCTCTGGCCTGGGTGGGTTGCTCTGGATCCCTGGGCCAGCGACTGACTGGCCTCTCCACCCCAGAAATCTACCTGTGTGCCTGCCTGGTGGACTTCTTCTCTGGCTGCTCCCGCTACACCAAGTGAGTCCTGTGCACTGTCCAGCCCTGGGTCACCAACAGGACGCTGCCACTGCCCAGAGCCCAAGTGCTGAAGTGGGGTCCCTGCCAAGGAGCAGAGACCCTTCCTGAGGGGCTCTAGGAACTCAGTGGGAAGGCTTTCACTGCAGGCTGCCCCCCACACCTTGTAACTGGTGCCCTCCCAAGGGATGACGCTCAGCACAGGGTGATACCCCTTCCAGCATGGTTGGGACATAAGTTCAGTATGGTTTGAGGGGTGACTCTGATATAGGATCTGGGCTGAGGGGTCACCTCAGGTCCCCTTATCAGCCTGTCTTGTTCTCTCGGCCTGCCCCAGCTGTGACACTGGCTATCAGCATGGGAACCTCTTCATGTCCTTCTGAAGCCTCTTCCAGGACGTGAGTGATGCCATGGATAATGTCCACCAGTCGGTGAGTGCCCAGGACCCCAGGACCCTTGACCTGTCTGCCTTTGGCTCTGCTGGGTATGGCCCAATGGCTCCAGCCTCCACAGAATTTCCTCTTTCCTTCCCGCTGAGGACTATGGTCTGGGCTCCTGCACCTTGGACGCATGCATGCAGGTGGGCATGCATGCACACGCACACCTGCATGCACATGCATGTGTGCACACCCGTACACACACACACATGCATGCACATGCACACCTGCACACACACACACACACACACACACACACACACACACACACACCTCTGCTCCCCCCTGCAGGGCTGTCTGAAGGAGAAGACCCTGGAAGACTTGGACAAATACGTGGAGAAGGATGTGAGTGGGTCATGACCAGGCCTGTCCCTTTGTCCCCCTCCTCCCCATGGCAGTGGAGCTGTGTCCCTGTCTCCCCTGCTCAAGATGTGGGCAGAGCTCTGTGGCCTTGTCTTGCTCACAAACTTTCCTGCTTGGCCTGGAGCCCCGTGCCTGGGAGGCTGAGAGCTGAGAAAGGGATCCCAGGGCAGCTGGGGGAGACCCCACCCCTGGAAGTGACTGACCTCTGCCTCTGCTCCAGGTGCAAATCCCCATCCTGCTGGGTAAGATGAAGGAAGTTGGGAAAGTATTTCTGGCTACAAACAGCAGCTACAACTACACAGATGTGAGTGTGTGGATGGAGGGGTAGGGCCCTCAGCCATTAGAGCCCAGAGGACATTGGAATCTGCCTTTCTTGGCCCCTGAAGGAACCTGAGGCCCTGTAGGAACAGTGAGGAGTAGGAAAGAGCAAAGGCCGTAGTACCCCCATGGTCTGGTTGGCATTTTGGGTTCCATTTCTTGGCCTTGAAAAAATTTTTATTTATTTATTTTTTTTAATTTTTTTTCCAACGTTTATTTATTTTTGGGACAGAGAGAGACAGAGCATGAACGGGGGAGGGGCAGAGAGAGAGGGAGACACAGAATCGGAAACAGGCTCCAGGCTCTGAGCCATCAGCCCAGAGCCTGACGCGGGGCTCGAACTCACGGACCGCGAGATC